GTTTTAATGCCCTTGTCTAGCTTGGATTAACACATAGTCTACAGGCACACACCTGATCATCTACAATTGCTCCCTTACAACACTAAACTATGTTTTCTACCTTTATCTTGCATCTACCTACCACTTCAGCATTTTATTAAAAATAATAATAATAAAGGGAGAAATGTGGGATCCACATATAAATCAAGTATAAAAATCAAACTAATATTCATAATTGACCTGATTGTTCATAATTCATAATGCGTGATCAAAACCAAAAGTTTCTGTGATGACTGCCCTTGTACTGTTTGCCATGTAAGAACTTATTCACTATGTAAGAATTCGTTCACCATGTAAGAACTTGTTCGTCATGCTTCAGAAGATTGGAGACTGACGAGAATTAGGCTTGGGGTGGATTAATGATTGTGCAGTGAGCATTGACCCCCCTATACAGAATTTTATTGTTGTTAACAACCATTTGATCGATAAATATGAGAGATGCCCTCTCAAAAAAAAAAAAAAAATTTCCACCCTAGAAAAGGTGATTAAATTCTCATTGCTACATTGGAAAGTTGGGTAAATTGCCATCATTTATGGTTTCCTTACCAGGTGCTGGGCTTTGTACAAGGCACTTTATTTGCATTCTCTTATTTAATTCTGAAGACCTCCCAATGGGATAAATGCTATTACCATCCCCATTTATACATGAGAAAGCCAAGAATCAAAGAAGTCCACATACCACATCTGGGAAATGGCAGAGGTTGAGTAAGAACATAGGCAGCCCGGCCTTGAGACCTGTGTTCTTCACTACTGTGCCTGCAAAGGGTAAAACATGAGCCAGCACGGGTGATCGAGAGATAGACATTCTTTCCCTCTACAATAGCAGGAATAGTATCATTGATCATTTCTTGAGCCCCCATTATACCATACACCATTCTCACCACTCTCACTGATTCTAATCCTCACAAGGAGCCTTGAGACCTTTCATGCAGTTACCACTATTCCACTGTTGAGGAAACAAGTAACAGAGAGCTCGAGTATCTTACACAGTCACAGAGCTAGTTAGTGAGTTGGAGACTTGAGATCTAACTCCATGGTATTCTCCACCATATTGCTTCTCAATAAAAAATCTAAGACCCAGAGAAGAATGAGCAGAGAACGGTCCTCTGCTATATGCAAATTAGTGGCATTAGCATGCTTCTGGGCACCAAATTGGCCAGATCCAGAGAACATGATAAGCATGTTTGGGTTGATTTGCGGGAAGGGTATATTTAGCCAGAGAGAATTAGCTGGGCATAGGGCACCTCAGAAAGCGAGGTTCCACTCACTTCCTGTTACTGCTTGTTCCTGTGGGAGCCTCTGAAATCGAATGTTTATAAAATAAATATCTAATGGGAAGGCAGATTTTTTTGGATAAAATGTGTTATTTACATGAAGTACATCTGTTATTGCCAACTCCAGACATTTTACTGGGCCAAGAAACTGGTTTATTTAAAATCATTCATAGTCGAAGGACTTCAGAAGCTTAATTAAAAAAACCAAGGCCAGAGAAATTACATTTTCAAAGGAAGTTAGTGGAAAGAGAAGGATCTAAAATTCTCCATATACCCTCACCCCACATCCACTCAACTTTACACTACACTGCTTTGCTTCACCTAATTTTCAGAAGTATGACATAGGCCAGAAAGAAATTCAATGATGTTTATTTGACTTATGGAACATGAATTTTTAGAAATCAAACTTACTACATTTAAAAGTCAGCTTTAAGAGAATGACAGTAATCTCAAACACCTACTAAACTCTTTGTCCTATTTCTGTTCTTTTTTTTCTAGCTTTAATAATGCTTTGCAGCAGTTTTCTAAGCCTGAAATTTCCTATGCGTGTGGATCCCCGAATTTCATAAGAGATGGAAGAATCTCAGCAAAATGATGTGAGCATGATGCCCCTTGTGAAAGATGATCCTCTCCAGAGCACCAGCCCTCAGATTTCTGTTAGCGAATTTTCTTGCCACTGCTGTTACGACATCCTTGTTAACCCCACCACCTTGAACTGTGGGCATAGCTTCTGCCGGCACTGCCTAGCTTTATGGTGGGCCTCTTCGAAGAAAACAGAGTGTCCAGAATGCAGAGAAAAATGGGAAGGTTTCCCCAAAGTCAATATTCTCCTCAGGTAATGCTTTGTCCACACGGGTAGTGTATACAGCTTGTTTGGGGTGTTTTTTCTTCAGAGGATCAGCCCTGTTTGGAAAGGCTGGAGGCACAGAGTCCACCTCCACCGCTGACATTCTGGATCTGCTGGAATGTGAGTCAGGGAGCCCGAGGAGCCAAAAACCCAGGCTCCCTTCCTCACACATGGCTGGGCTTTGTTTATTGTTTATTGCGAATGAAAGAAAGAAAGAAATTCTGGTTATCAGACCTTTGCTCATGATCCTCCTTTGTCATATCATACTTTTCATTGTTTTGTATTCCCTGGGAACGTCCCAGGTCTGACAGGGAAAATGGCATAACTCTAGTTCTGAGCAATTGGTTTGATGCTGATTTTCATCGTCTTTGACTAAACTCTGTTTCAGTTGTCACACTGATAGAGATGGTTTTCTCGTGGATAGCGTCACAAACAAATGGCAAGACCATACAGATAGCGGGTTCTTTTCTGTTTCATTCCTAAGGTTCATAAGGTACTTGTGAGGCCTTTGAGTTTAAAACCTTGTGTCCTCTACTCTTGTCTTCTTGGTATCACCAGAGTACCAAAAAGTTCCATGAAAACATTAACCCCAACATTCTCTTTTTGACAGGAGATGTATTTACAAACACTTTGCTCTGACCTGTCAGCCTTGGCTTCCCTGACGATTAATCTTAAATTGAAGGAGGGGTCCCTGTGTGTAATTGAAAATGATAACAGCCATATAGTATAACTGGCCTTTTTCTTAATACTAAACTTCACTTTTTTCCTTTTTATGAATTAATTTTTAATAACATAAGCAATACTTAACATATGTTCATTTGTTTATATTCTTCTTAAAAGATTAGAATAAATGTTCTTTTTAAAAAATTCGTCAAAACTGCAGACCCCTTTGACTTTTCCTTCCCCATCTTAGAATCCTTCCTTCCTTATCCCCAGAGTAATTTCAGTTGTGACTTAGTTGTGATTTCTTTCAGATTTTTAAAAATAGTTTTATACATCATATGTGCCAATAAAAAACGCAAATATTTTCTTACATCAGTGTTGTACTATCTGTATGGTTCTACAGTTTACTGTTCCATTCAACAATATATATGTCATAAATTTATCCATATTGATGCACAGTGATATCCAGTAAACTCATTTTTAAGTTATGTAGTGTTCCATTATATGAATATACCATGTTTTATTAGGCTGTTCCTCCATCAGTGGACATGTAACTTGTTTCTAATTTTATACTATTACCAACAGGGCCATAACTGATCTTGTTGTCCATTCGTCTAGAGAATTTGTATACCACTAGATGTTGGCTATTAGTTTTATTTGGGCCTCTAAATATTATAAGTGTATTTAGTCAAACAAATGTCTCATGGTTTTTTTTCCCTATTCTCCATAGGGATGCCATTGAAAAATTATTTCCTGATGCCATTAGAATGCGATTTGAAGACATTCAGCAAGATAATGACATACTCCAGGGTCTTGCCGCCTTTCAGAAGTATGGGAATGATCAGGTTCCTTTAGCTCCCAACACAGGCCGAGTGAATCAGCAGAGAGGAGGGGGATTCTTCTCCGGAGTGCTCACAGCTTTAACTGGCGTGGCAGTAAGTTTATCACTGTGTGTCCCTGTCTCCCTCCTCACCACACGTTCCACTGAAGTCAGTTCTGTTGAAGTGTACCTCAACAACTGGTGACATAGCTGCATGTGGTGATTCACTGTGCTCACAGAAATCTGCTAGGTTGTATTGACTCTTCAAGGATACTGCTTACTGACATAGCATAATATGCAGAGCCCAGTAAATGTTCACTATACCCATTTCATCCTTTCTTGCATGACCTATACAATAATCCCCATTATTATTTCTACCTTAGGGACAAAGAAACAGGGACAGAAATGTGTTAGACCTGGAATTCCAGACCATATTTGCCTTGATAGTCTTGAGATAGTAGCACTTTACTAACTTCTCATGTAGAGACTATTTTCTTTTTTAAGTTGTATGCTACAAAAGTCTACATGTTACAAGTTTTCCTATACAAAAGGCAGATGAGTCAGTATGTTGGCCAAGTTGCTGGGGTCAAGGGTTCAGTGTTCCCAGGTGCCCTGCTATTGAGTCGTGGTACCTGGCACCATTGCCTCCAGCCGGCAGTCATCAGAGAGTCAAGCCCACCAAGAATTATTAAGTCCCCTTCACCCTTCCACAGCCCCCCAGTTCTGTGTGGTGGTGGCATTGCCCTGGTTTGTGTACAGACTTGACATCATTCCCGTTGAGCTCAGCCTCTTCCTTTCCCTGCTCCACACTCAACATATTTAGAAACTGGTATCTCTGACCTTTCTGCACCTTAAGGTCCCTGTCACTTTTCCCCAGGTGGTCCTGCTTGTGTATCACTGGAGCAGCAGGGAATCTGAGCATGACCTCCTGGTCCACAAGGCTGTGGCCAAATGGACAGCAGAAGAAGTTGTCCTCTGGCTGGAGCAGCTGGGCCCTTGGGCTTCTCTCTACAGAGACAGGTTTTTATCCGAGAGAGTAAATGGAAGGTGAGGAGCAAACTCTTCAGACACATTATTGACTTTTTAAAAAAATAACTCTATTGAAAGAGAGTCCATATACCACCAAAATTTACCCATTTAAAGTGTGCAACCAGTGGTTTTTAATCTATTCATAGATAGGTGCAGCTATCACCATAGTACAATTTTAGAACATTTTCAACACCCCAAGAAGAAAGCTTTTACTCTGTTAGCAGTCAATCGTCCTTTCTACACTCCCCAGCCCCAGGCAACCATCCAGCACCATTCCACTTTCTGTCTCTATAGATTTGCCTATTCAGAGTATTTCATATAAACAGAATCATATCATATCATATGGGGGGTTGTATGTCTGGCTTTTGCATTTAGCATAATATTTTCAAGACTCATACAAGTTGTGATATGTATCAGTACTTCATTGATTTTTATGGCTGAATACTTCAGTGTACGGAAAGACCACATCTCAGTTATCCATTCTTCAGTTGACAGACAATTGGGGGTTACTATGAAAAATTCTGCCATGATCCTTTGTGTCCAGGCTTTGTGTAGACATTTCACAATGTCTCTGTTGGAGTGGAATTGCTAGAAACTCTCTTGTGTAACTTTTTGAGCAACTGTCAAATTTTTTCCAGAGCAGCTCTACCATTTTATGGTATTAACATTTTAATTTGTTTTTTGCCTCTTGATTATAAAAGTAGTGTATATTTATTAGTTATTAAAAATAATCAAGTAGAACTGTAGGATATTGAAAGTAAAACACCCTCCTAATTCTTCTCTTCAGAGAAAACTGCTATTATCATCTTTCTGAACATCTTTCTAGATTTTTTTATTTTTTTATTTTTTGAGAGGGCATCTCTCATATTTATCGATTAAATGGTTGTTAACAACAATAAAATTCTGTATAGGGGGGTCAGTGCTCAATGCACAATCATTAATCCATCTCAAGCCTAGTTCTCGTCAGTCTCCAATCTTCTGAAGCACAACGAACAAGTTCTTACATAGTGAACAAATTCTTACATAGTGAATAAATTCTTACATGGTGAACAGTACAAGGGCATTCATCACAGAAACTTTTGGTTCTGATCACGCATTATGAACTATAAACAATCAGGTCAAATATGAATATTCGTTTGATTTTTATACTTGATTTATATGTTGATCCCACATTTCTCCTAT